TATGAAGTTTCTCCGTTGATTTGTCGAAAGCTAAGACTACAGCGCTAGGACTACAGCGCCTTGGACACCTCACCAGCGACAGGTGCCATCTTGTTTCGAAAGTCACTGGCGTCACGTCAGCGTCTCGTTGTGATTGGTTGCCGCTTTGCGATTCGTGAAAGCGGTAGGAGAAATCGGTCCCGAAGCGGTTGGCAAAAACGCGCTCCAACCGCTCGATCCTAGCCGCTTTGCGGTTGAGAACGCGCGGATCCGCTTCGCGAACGCGGATCCGCTTCCAGTGTGAACGCGCCATAACTGCGGGATCACGGCCGGACGGCGCCAAGAAGTGCACTACGCAGGCGCGTTACGCCAATTGCGTGGACACTGCTGAGCGCCGAGAGGAAACGTTGTTGACGTCGCATGTTACGCTTGCCCGGAAAAGTCAAAACAAGGAAAAGGGGGTCGATGGTGATGACCTCTAGCTCAATGTAAGCTGCGCCCATACCGTAGCCTTGACTGCGCTGTTGGTCGCGCCCCAATTCGCCCGCGCGTGTCAGCCGATTTCGACAACTTGTCGATTTGCAAAGTTTGCCGGACCGTTTAAGAAACATGTAAACAGAGCTACTTCCTAATAATTGACGTGTGGTCTTACTCTGTGTTACTGAAAAGGACTTCATTGTTGTTGTTGTTTTTACAAAAAATAAAGCGTAGTTTTCTTCTAGATGGATGGCCAGCCCACAGAGTCGGACATGTCAAGCTCCTGAGGATATAGAACATCTCGTCTGAGAATTGCCCAATTTTCGATTCACAGCGTTCTAGACTCCACTTTCAAGTTCGTCAAATAGGCACAGCAAGGCAGCACTTTTCGCACCTGCTTTTCCCTCCAGTTCCCAGGGTCATCGCTAGGAAAACATTTGCGCTGCTCCTGATATTCCTGGAAGACACCAGTCTGGCTGATCAGGTTGAATGCTTGCTGTCCTCTCCAGTTTCCAGTACGGTGGGCGCGGCTTGACGCGAGACCTGTGCCTGTGATAGGTGGCATGACCTTCTGCCATTGAGGCGGAAAACAGTGCTTGACTAGACGTCGCTGACTACTTTTCGGTTGGTGTGTGTCTTGCTCGAACCTTTTCCTCTTCCTTCTTTCTCTTTATCTTTGAAGCTGAGACCGTAAAGTGGCAGGCCCCCATTAAAAGGAGTGGCCACACGGTTACGGTTTTCCTCTATTTTTTTCTTATGTGCTTTAAGCCTTTCAACAACAATCCCAAAATGCTGCTCCTGTTTTCTATGCTGCTACTTTAGCGCAAAGAGAGAGAGGGAGAGATGACTGATCAGTGAGGCAGGTGCTTCGTGCTGATGTTTTTTTTTTTTTTTTAAATGCATTGTTTTACGTTCGCATAAAGTAAATTTTTCGAGCTAAATTACTTATATGCAGGACTCCGTGCTTTCGAAGTTCATTTCTTGACGAATTCGGAGGGTGTTTTTCGAAATTTCTATTTTGCTGCAAATTCGAAATTCATCAGAATTTAGTTTGTTTGATTCCTAATTCTCCGAAATATTAACATTATTTCGCAGTGTTTTCCATTAAAAATAAGTAAATGAATGAATAATATCCGGGTGTAAATGTATGCTAGCTAATATAATAAAACGCGCCTTAATCAGTTAATATTTCTTAATCTGGATTTAGCGTAAGTGCCATTGCCTTTGACAATACTAATTTGTCCCACAACAAAAGTTGCACACAATTGTGGCTTCAATAAACGTCGACACCTCAAAATTAATAAACTCCTTGAGGTAGTCGCTGAGAAGCTCGTATTCATCCCATATCCTATTCCCTCAACCTACCCCGTGAAAGTTTCAACTGCCTCTCTTCTTAATTTTATGCAATCTCTATAATCCTTAGGCTTAACGGTAACACAAACTAACCTTCTCCTTCCTCTTAAAGCACAAATAGTATAGCCCAAACTGAAAACCCAAACCGTCGCTTTTGTCGGGACCTGCGAGTACACTGACCTGTTGGACTGAATGAACCTTGAGGAGGCAAGCAATAAAATCCCTTTTGAGAATGGTCCCAAATTCGAAAGATATCTGTGGTGGCATTTTTCTATGACCGTTGACCCTGTAAGCTGTTAAAACTTAATTGTAAAATGTTTTTTTCTTTTCTTTTTGTGTTTACGTGTGTGTGTGTGTGCGGGGGGGGGGGGGGGGGGGCTTTGACACATTAATATTTGGAGTTCATCGAAGAGGTCCGAATTTACCAAAATGTTTACCGGAGGGCGTTTTTCGGAGTTTTTATTTATTTACTTGAAAACGCGGAACCTCACTCATATCTCGCACTTCTTAAATACTTCAATAGAACTTCCAAGATTGCAAATTTACATTTAAAAAGTTTTTCTTTTCTCATTTTTTTTTTGGCTTCTGCCATCGGCCTACTGCGAATGTATGCCAAACGAATCACTAATTGAGGTGCAAGAAATTTATTTACACGTACTCGTCTGTTATTTCCAAATACATACCATAGTGTTATTGTAATGTACGCTAGAGGTTACACTGGCCCTAGTGTGCTGTTGAAAATTGAAGCAAACAGCAACCAGTCAAAATTCACTCCCGGTAATGCATTTCTATGGGAAAAGGTGAGTGCATTTTATACCTGGGCGTGCGGAGTTTCTTTTTTTTTTTTAATTTAGGCTGTTAAACAAATTGTCTAAACAATTATTACATGAATTTATGTGCACTGTTCAACACACTTAGCGCAAACACTTCGACGGCGCTTATCAGCATGGGGGATATCCGTGCCAAACGAACGATGGACATCTGAAAATCTAAGAGGGACTGGAAAAACTACGCAGTAACACTGGATCAGTAACTTCCGGTGCATCTTGACTATCAAAATAAATTAAAGGCCAGGTGATATGCACCCACTGGCAAAAAAGAAGTAGTGCTTTGTTCCTTCTGCCCATGAATATGGGCGAAGATGCTTGTTCTTTGTTCAATACATCACTTTAAAGCTCAAAATCTTTAAAAATAGGTAGATTTCAGAAAACAGCTGCCCAATGAAATCTGCCCGGGATAGGAAATAACGAAAAAAAAAACCTTTTATAGCCCACGTACTTTATTTTGTACGTTTTGATTGTCTAAACTGCTCGTAACGATGCACGACGGGATTATTTTTATATAATGACTGAACGGGCATATTAGCTATATTGAGGAGCCACCGGAATGCTAGCGAATGTTGAACACACTCCACATTCCTTTCGCTCGTTATTTTTCTTAGTTTTCGCTCGTTTTTACGCACCTACTATTTAACAGTGGCTTGAGCCTTAAATATGACGAAATTTACCACCGTTTACTGGAAAATAAACATACTGTAACTAAAGCAATAGTACATTTAAAATGGTAATGAAGGTACATACTATTCGGTCCGACCGAAATAACAAGTGTGATTCATGTGCATTCCCGGCGAAAAGACAAGAACCAAGCGCCTTTTCCCGTAGGATTGTACAAGAGTACAGCAAAAGTAGACTGGTCGCTGTCTGCTTCGATTTGCATCTCGGAAATCGCATAGACACGAGCGCCAGTTAAACCTCTAGCGCACGTTATAATAACTCTATGGTACATACAACGCTCACCATGTATGTTTCCTAAATGCGTAAAGTTACATTTATGCCCTCTGAAATAATAATAATAATAATATTAATAATACTAATAATACCGTTTATTTTGCGCCAAACATATATGATGCAGAAGACCTAATAATTAAAACCTTGAATTCTAAATTTCAGCCCGTTAACTCAATAATTTATCCGTAAAGGATCACTGATAAGGCTCTTAACTATTCAGTCGGGAAACAGCCATAATTAAGCAACAATATTTCTAAGGTCCGAGCTCTTTTGATCCCTCACGATGAGACTACACAGTGTCACAGTGACGCCACCTGTGAGGTCACATTTGAATTGCATTTAAGTAGAGCGAAGATTTCGAGAAATTTCCAAGATCAAATATACGCACTATTTATAACAAATAGTCGTTTATGACATTGTGAAAATATATTCAAACTAGGGAAAAAAAATCGATGTGCGAACGAACAATGAATATACGGAATAGCGAGTGCTCCACAGCTACCCGATTGATGGTGCCAGTGTGTTCTGTCGCAGTAAGAAAGTGTAAGAGGCTATAAGGCACACCGCCATGAGCAGTAGCAAGTGTGTAAACCAGACTTGATAGTATCTTGGAATACATTTTAGCGCTCGAGAACAAGGACAAAAAACAAGAATCCGACACCACAAAGCGCTACAAACAACTGATTTCATTACATGAAACGTAACTTATATACCATCCGTGTTTCTGATATCGACCCATCACTAGCCAACCCGATGCCAGGCCGCGTAATTGAGGAAGGCACGTTCCTTGTCAAGTAGATCAATTGAGGCTACTCTGACACATGCTGCCCCACTCTTCTGAACCTCATCTGCCTCGCAGTTTTTTCCTTGTGCCTCGCCTGAATCTTGCACTCGGAAAACAACGGCACACACTTGCAGCTTTGACAATCATCAGACAGATGACCGTCCCGATAATTTCCTACTTCCTCACTGACGCGGCCTGGCATCGGGTTGGCTAGTGATAGGGTGATATCAGAAACACGGATGGTATATAAGTGACGTTTCATGTCATCAAATTAGTTGTTAATAGCGCAATGAGGTGTCTGATTCTCGTCTTCTTGTCCTTGTTTTTAAGCGCTAAAATGTATTCAAAGTTACAAAACCAACTAGCCTAACAATATACTCTACTGAAATTTAATAGTATCGCTAATAACGTGCATTTGAAGAGTGTGCTGTTTTTGCCCAGTGGGACATGTTTCTTTACAAAATGTTTTATTGTATCTTATTTTTTTCGGTACCCGACATTAGGCTCGAAGAAAGTATGTATGAACGATGAGTGACTACTTAATGCAGACTCACACGTGACGCTGTGTTAAAAAAGTCCCAAATGAGCATTTCTTTTCTAATTGTCCTACTGATTGTCACCTTGGTATGCTCTTCCATGACTGCCTGTTTCCAGCCGTTGTTTCGCAAAATTCCAATGCACAGACGACGGTTTTCCCACCACGCATCTCCGTTGAGACTCGATATACCTAAAAAATTGATTCGAGATGAAGTCATTTTAAAATAACTTAGGTTATGTGAGGGCGCATATGGATATTCTTGCAAAGATATTACAAAATAATAATAAAAAAAGCAACGAACCGAGCAAGCCGGAGGTTATGCAGAAGACGTTTCTGATCCGGGACTGGAATGCACTGTGGCTGAGCCATTTCTTGACGGAGGCGTAGTCATTGAGCACGACAACGTTGACCATTCCAAATTTCACCCTGCGTGCGCGATAAAGAAGTTGAAATCGTTTTTTTAATTTCTTTTATTGGTGCGCTTAATATCATTATTGCTATTCTCTCTCGGGAGCTTCGTACGTTGTAGAGATGATGAGGTTAGAAATGTCTAGTGGAAACTAACTGCAATAACCGCAATTTGAAAGCTGCCATATGCGTGTACTCTGTTCCACCTTGTGTTTCGGGCATACGCAATAGCTCTGTCTGAGAAATAGTGTTCATGGACCAATTATTTAACAACCCAGCGACAATTTTCCACAAGTTGTGGCGTGCAGTGTTCTGAAGGGCACGGGAGCAATAGCGGGGTTCTACTTATTGCGCCTTTTTTTACACTAGAAAAAGCACTTGCCAAGTCTATGCACTCGCGCCCGCACTTCGTAATCGCCACAACTGCGGTTTGAGCCGCTCCCGCTGCTCGGGCGGTAAAAAAAAAAAAAGAAGAAAAGACTATTTTTATAAGCCCGTCACCGCACGCGCTGCATTCTGGGAACCTGTGGACCAAAAGCGTAGCGCGTATTGATTTTGCTTCCCACTGATTCTCACAATGCGTAATGTGGCATTACGGTACGATGAGGCGCTTCGAGTTTTGGAATAAGTATGCTGTGGTTTTGTGGCAGATCAGTTTTATTTTAATGATAGTTTGTCCTTAAATTCTATGCTGCCAATTCGTCTGTGGTGGCGTAAAGAGCTTGATCCGCTAAATTGTACTTCAAACGCTGAAATCCTTCAACACAATGCCTCGTCGGCGTGAGAGAAGGGGACGGAAGGAGGAATATCTTGCGTTAAATTGACGTTTGGGGTCAAATTCATTTCGTGAGATAAGTCCGGAATACAGACACTTCGAAAAAAAAATAAAGAAAAAGAGGGTAAGCTAACTTGAAATCTTCAAAATTTTAACCCTTCAATGCGTAAATCAGCACGAGCAAGCTAGAGCATCAAAACCCATCACGTGGCATATGATCGCAAGCAAAGGCATCCTATGTACTAAGGTAAATTTTGCAGGCCTCCGATAAAACTCTCGTAAATTGGAAGGGATCCCAGCGGCTTAGTGCCGCGCTAAGCATATTAGGAACTTATTTATTGATCACGGTTTTGGTTTCGATTTGGCAACGTCAAATCACGACATCCCTTGACGACCAAATACAGTGTATGCATTTTCGAATAAGTTACTTTCACCTAATTTATAATAGTGCAGGTTTTGCTTACCAATACGGATCGAATGATAAGGCACGTTTGTTTTGAAAGACTCCCGAAGTGCCAGAGTTTGTGCGCATGTAAACGCAGAAAGAAGTGTACTAAGCCGGTCATCCACCTGTAGTAGGCTCCGGTCCCATGAACGACCAAACGTCCGACGGACCTTACGATGCGTCGGAAAGTTGGCCGAACTCGACCAGGGGCCGGCCAGTCACGGCGTTACGTGAAGAGACGTCGCGTTATAATGGGTTAGCGATGCTTCATACCCGGAGACGGCCGTCTTCCAGGCGTGTCTTAGAAACTGGCGAATCACTTCTGGTGCATCCATTTACTTCACATTCATGTAAACACACACATGGCTGTCCCCACTACAATATATATAGACCTTTCTGGAGACTAGAGCGCGCATTAAAGCGGTGCGTGTGAGATATTATGGGAACAGTGAGGGTCGGTGCTCCGTCGTCTGCTGCTACTGCCGTACCGACCCCGAGAACAACGTTGCCTACGTTCGCGTTGGGTCCCTGTGTACGACAGACGGCAATCTTCGCAGCGCCCTGTGCTGCGCTGCGTTGCCCACATGAAGTGAGAAACCCTCATTCGCAGCACGTCAGTCCACTGCGCTTTTTTAAAAAGTCAATATTTCTGTATGCGTCACCGTATTTTTTTTTTTATTAAATGAGCCATCGCGCGTGGGCCACGCGCCGAAAAAGCGAGGTATCATTTACGCATTCAACGTGTTCTTGATTTCTGCGGGAATTAGTTAAGATAGTTGGTACATTTCAGTTTCCTTCGCCAATATAAAAAAAGCAGCTCGGTTTAACAAAGTTCGAAGACTGTTATCTCATTTGGACGTATGAATCAATTAAGAATGCTGCTGCAGTTCGGGCGGTAGCGTGCGCCACCTAGCGTGCGCCACCTAGCGTGCAAAAGCTCAACTAGGCTAGACGTGGCTTGGCTGGAATACGCGTCACCCTCACAATTCCCATAGTCATGATTAAAATAGCGCAAACTTGACAAGGACAACAAAGAAGGCACACGTACAACAGGACTGGCGCTTACTTCCAACTAAGTTTATTTCATCATCTAACCAAGCAATATATACCATCGCCAGCGACATAAAAGCACAAAAAGAACACAAAAATAGTTATACATAAAGATTATATGCATACCACGCGCCTTTCTTCAGATAAAACCATCAAGAAAAACAATTCTTTTTCAATGAGACACACCGACGGCATGCTGACGCACTTGCCTCCCGCTTTTTTGATGAAAAACGCCTCTATAATTTCCCTCTCTGTCTTGTCCTTTGCTTTCTTTAGAAACTTCGTCAAATTCAAAAGCGGTTTACACCCACATCGTTTAACGTGCTCAGCAAGATGACCACCCAAATTGCTTCGTGCCGACAGATTTTGTTCGCGCGCTCTCTCATTGAAACACCGACCCGTTTGTCCAATGTAAATGCGGCCACCGCTAAAACGAACTTCATAAGCAACGCTACTTGTGCAGTTAGTGTACATGACGGCATGTGTTTTTGCGCATTGATCACTTTTTTTCCTTGTAAGCATAGGACATATCTTACCAAGCCTGCAGGGAGCCGAAAAAAGAAGTTTAATACCATATCTACCAGCTATCTTTTTAAATTATGCGATACCTTGTGCATATAGGGCACAACTTGCACTCTTTTTTTGTTGAACTGTTCTAGAGTACGTTTTCTATTCTGTGATCCTTTAAGTTTCTGTAATAGGCTCTCGCAAACGCTTGAAAGTAACATGTCAGGGTACCCTGCAGATTTTAACTTCCTAAACTGCTGATCGAAGGCGGTTGACATTTTGTGTTCGCAACTTTTTTGTGAGGGCAGCCAGTAAGCAATTTTTAGCTATTCCTCTCTTTATAAGTTTGGAGTGGGCACTTTCAAATGACAAAATACTTTTTTTGGATCGCGGGTTGTACATCCAGCACAAGTGTTGCCTAGAGAAATCAAGCTGTAAATCTAAATACTGAATGCAATTCTGGTTTGCAAATTTGCAAGTGAAATTTAAACCTCCCGAGTGAACATTAAAGATGTCGATAAATGTTTAAGCAACATCAACTTCATTTGTCCCAGTCAAATTTCCTAAAACAACTAAAAAATCGCCAACGTATTGGTAAACCTTAAACCTCAGTTGTTTTAGGAGATTTGACTGGGACGAATGAAGTTGATGTTGTTTCCAAAATTATCGACATTTTTAATGTTCACTCGGAAGGTTTAATTTTCACTTGCAAATTTGCAAACCAGAATTGTATTCAGTTTTTAGATTTACAGCTTGATTTCTCTAGGCAACACTTGTGCTGGATGTACAACCCGCGACCCCAAAAAATCTTTTGTCATTTGAAAGTGCCCACTCCAAACTTATAAAGAGAGGAATAGCTAAAAATTGCTTACTGGCTGCCCTCACAAAAAAGTTGCGAACACAAAATGTCAACCGCCTTCGATCAGCAGTTTAGGAAGTTAAAATCTGCAGGGTACCCTGACATGTTACTTTCAAGCGTTTGCGAGAGCCTATTACAGAAACTTAAAGGATCACAGAATAGAAAACGTACTCTAGAACAGTTCAACAAAAAAAAGAGTGCAAGTTGTGCCCTATATGCACAAGGTATCGCATAATTTAAAAAGATAGCTGGTAGATATGGTATTAAACTTCTTTTTTCGGCTCCCTGCAGGCTTGGCAAGATATGTCCTATGCTCACAAGGAAAAAAAGTGATCAATGCGCAAAAACACATGCCGTCATGTACACTAACTGCACAAGTGGGGTTGCTTATGAAGTTCGTTTTAGCGGTGGCTGCATTTACATTGGACAAACGGGTCGGTGTTTCAATGAGAGAGCGCGCGAACATAATCTGTCGGCACGAAGCAATTTGGGTGGTCATCTTGCTGAGCACGTTAAACGATGTGGGTGTAAACCGCTTTTGAATTTGACGAAGTTCCTAAAGAAAGAAAAGGACAAGACAGAGAGGGAAATTATAGAGGCGTTTTTTTATCAAAAAAGGGAGAGTCAAGTGCGTCAGCATGCCGTCGGTGTGTCTCATTGACAATGAATTATTTTTCTTGATGGTTTTATCTGAAGAAAGGCGCGTGGTATGCATATAATCTTTATGTATAACTATTTTAGTGTTTTTTTTTGTGTTTTTATGTCGCTGGCGATGTATATATTGTTTGGTTAGATGATGAAATAAACTTAGTTGAAAGTAAGCGCCAGTCCTGTTGTACGTGTGCCTTCTTTGTTGTCCTTGTCAAGTTTGAGCTATTTTAATCATGCTAGTAAGAAGCAACTAGCCCAAACAAAAGTCGGGTTTCCCATAGTCCCCCGGAGCGCTCACTGGTGGCGCTGACGTTTCAAGAAAGGTCTATTTCATTCCCACGTGTCATAGTAATCGGGACTACCGCCCAGGCTACAAGCTGCACACTGAAAAAGGTTTGGTTAGTTCACTTTACTACAGAATAGGGACATTGAGCAAGTAAAACGTCCTGCTCATTATACCTGCCCACATCCCATATCTTTTTCTGGTCTATCGTATTCCGAGTTTCTTCATTCGGTGAGATTCTTCTCCACATGGCCTGTATTGGCGTCACGTCGGCCGCCATTGCTCCCCACCATGTTCCTGTGCCCGTACCTTCTGCAGTATACATCTGGCATTATCGAAGCTGTCCTTCTCGGTAAGGCTTGCCAAGAATAACAAATTCGATGGTGCAAAATGAATATCAATGAAGGTACGGGCTCAGAAATACGGTACGGAGCAATGAAGACTTGTGCGATGCCATATGACGTCACACTAGCCACTTCGGTGGCTCCGAGGCGAGAGCGCTGGCCTACGGATCCCCATGTGGTGGGTTCGAATCCCGGCCGAGGTGCCGGCAATCTGACGGAGGCTTATTGCGGAGGAGGCGCCGTGTAACCGAGCTTTTGGTTGCACGTCAAAAGATCCCCAGGTGGTCCAAATTAATCCTCAGTCCTCCGCTGGGGTGAGATGCCCGTTGTTGGTTTGACACGTAAAACCCCAAAATTTTTTATATGACGTCAAATGCAAAGAATGTATCGGCAGGCGTGAGTGGCTGTCTTCGTACCCAGCAGGAAAGGAAGCTCACAGGCCTTGTTTAGAGTGTGGAGCTTCCTGGTTTCAAAAGAGCCTTGGCTGCGGGAACGCATGCGAGAGAGCAATCCTCACCTAATATATTCGCTAGCGTATGTAGCCTGTTCTGCAGTGCGCGGTAAAAATGAGTATGGATTGGCGCATTCTCCAACTCTTTCCCACAAATACCGTACAAAAGAAAAAAATGATTGACGTCTTTGTTGTGTTTTATTTCGCAATGATTGGGAGCAAGTGTCCAGGCTTGGAAGGCTGGTTACCTCACTCCCTTTCACGAAACACCAAGCATACACCTTTTTATTCACGCTTCCACTATACAGTCGGTGACGAGGAAAGGTGAGAGGGGCAGGGAGGACCTTCAGGTGTCCCACCTTCAGCGCGAGCTTCTATCCTTCGATAATGCTTCGGCCTCTTACGCGCTGCAAAGCACGGTGGAAGGCATGAACCGCGTGTTGGAGGCCGAGGACACGCCCTACCACTCGCACACGGTAATTGAATATAGCGACTAGACAGATGTACCGAATATTCTACTCAACTAATTTATGAAACAGCATCATTGTTAGAAAGCATAATTTTGTTTGCTTAATAAATGCGTGTTATTTTTTCTAGAGGTATAAAGGGGCAAGACAGAGGTATACTTGTTTTTTTCTTTATAGACTTCTGCACTAGCGAATACCTGGTGAGGAACGAAGACTAGACACTGTAATTACTTTGTAAGATTTCCTTCCTTGAACTCGTTACGTTTCTGTTACTATGTTACTTGTATTTTCACGAATCGATGAAGCAAGATAATACCCGAAAGCTGGGGCGACACTCGACTGCTCATACATCATACAAAGACAGTCTGCAAACACGACACAACACAATATTCGTAGTTCGAATGCCGCGTGTTGAGTTTCTCCTTGAATCCATTGTCATGCGTCATTCGAAGCACGAATCTCGCGGTGACTCGCGTTTGGTTTTGTATGCGGACTGTCCTTTGCTTGATGTGGGAGCAGTGTGACCTCGGCCTAAAGGGATACTATAACGAAAATTTGGCAATAATAGACAGTTTTAGTATAGCGTTGTTTACCTTACGTACGCAATACGCAATAGTATAGCGTACGCTAAAAATGACCTGCTCGGACCGAATTTAGTTGTGCGTTACGTTTTCGAGTCAACACCGCGCATGATCTTGGTTAAATTTGCTAGAGCCGTAAAGTTCCGCGTGCTTATAGCGCAACCATGCTCCTGGAAAGAAATATTGAAAATGAAAACGTGTCCAATCATTTTATTTCAAATTAAACCAAGCCACAGCTGCCTCGTCAAGCGCGCTTTTCTGCGGGGTACAGAGGCTACGAGTACGAGTGCGTAGCTAAATTCGATCACGGAGCCTCCGTCACTCGTCCCGTGGAAACGGCACCTTTTATCAATGCTATCGCGGAATGAAATTCATGACCCTGATGTCCAGTGCTTAGCGAGAACTTCGGCAATAAACTGTGGGAATAGGCTTAGCGTTGAGCAGATCGCAGCGTCGACGCACATTGCGAGCGGCGAACATTTTCACTGTGCACTCCTTCAGCTGCACGGCGATGTGATTCGACCGCGGTAGGTCCCAGAAAGAATCGCCGAGCTGAACACCACGCAATTTCACGTAACACAGAACTTCTAAAACACCATGTCGCCTTTGCTGCGCCAGTCGAGGCAACCGCCATCTTGAAACTGGCGCTCTCGTTGGGTCCGAGATCTCTCGAGAGCGTCCCGCAAGGCCCGCTAGCCAGCAACGCAAAATCCCCAGCGTTGCGTGCGTACGCAATACGCTAGTCCTTCTACTGCGTTCTACACATGCGCACTCACGACCCGCAATTTCCTTGCGTACGCAAAGCTATAGCGTACGGTCCAATAAAACTGTCTAATGTTGTGCTCTATACGTGTTCAAAGGAGCCGTATCACATCGGGCACACAAATATCTTATTAAAAAGGCACAAAAAGAAATTTTAAAACAAAAATAAACGATTAGCAAAGAGCCCCTCCTGGATGTCACCAAAGCCTCGTTTGTGATGCCCATCTTTACTACCTTGGAAGGTAGTAAGGATAACCATCTCGCCTAGAACTATACATCGCTTGCACTGACGTTACGTCGCATACTTTTGATCACCATGTAAGAGGAGGAAAGGGAAGCTGCTTTTGTAAGAATTTTGAGTGGCGTGTTCATCTTCCATAATCTTGTGGGAGGAGAATAGTGACGTCTGTGCAAATCCGAGAGGCAAAAAAGAGAATCCATGTAAGAATGGAGGCCTTCTTTTCCTCTTCTCTGGTGGCCCTCGGAGCGCTCTTTGAATGACATTACGTGCAAGCCATGTACACATGCTTTGAACCTGACGTCATACCGACAGCTCTACGACCAGCACAAGCGAAGAGGCGATGTATGAACTCCTCACCCAACGGGACTCTCTTTTGTGTGCCCCAGACGTCGTTATTCTCTCTCTACAAATATTATAGAAGACTAAGCCGTCACTCAAAATTTACGCAAAAGCAGCTTTGCGGTTAGTGGTGGTGGCCCGATCGCTGGCGTGCTTCGACCACTTCGGTGGCTGGCACCGCTACGGCAACCTGACGACGTCAGCCTAGCCGCAGTTTTGATCATCCCGAAACAAACTACGTTACGATCCGGCGTAGTTTGTCCCGAGACAAACTACGCCCGATGTGACGTGCTCTCCGCTGGCTTTTCTCCGAGCGCTTGCTAGAGTGGGTCGTTTATAACGAAAAATACAGCCATCAGGCTCAAAATACGAACGTGCGATTGTCATTCATGGATATTGTGGATCATATTCATCCCATTTCCGAACACGACGGGCATATTTCAAATTTAGTTGAAGTATCCCTTTAAAGGTTACAAATGCTCCCCGCAGTTTTGTTGCTTTTCTCATATAAATAAAGCGTTAAATTCCAAACAAAGCATTGAACAAGAAGAAAAGAAAGAGATTCTTCGCTCTTGACGTATCGTGTATGTAATCACTCGCCGCAAGTTAAAGCTGACGGTATAAAAATGATTCATTCAATGCTGTTAAAACCGGGATGATATTTTCGTCGTTGTTTTACTGGAAATGCGAGTTTATAACCTTGCAGGTGTTCAGAAGGCTGACGTAGCCGGGACACGCGTTTCATAAAAGGCCCCAAGCATAATAGATAAACAAGTAACAATCGAAAAAGAAATAGTTTAAAGAAAAAGCAAAAAAAAAAAACATTTCTTCTGAAGCGAAGTGCCATAACGCATGCTTTCCTCTGTTTAAGTTTATGTCTGAATGACGAGTCCAGCCATTTGTTGTTTCAGAATTTCAGAAAACAAGGCTTTGCATTCACCTCAAATTGAGTGCCAAACAAACTACACAAGAAATATGCCGTGAAGAAGTCGTTTGTGTCTTTGGATTCACGAAAAGGTTTCTTCGAATCTTCAGTCGAAAGGCAATCATTCCCTCATCGAGTTCAGCAGCGTCATTTGTTCAGTTCAGGGATCGTTAGCAAAACTTATGTTGTTGACAATGTTTTTTTTTCTCTCTCTACACAGTGTAAATCTGCGAGACTTTTGAAAACATTCATAGTCGCATACGAGTGCGAAACATGACTGCTAGAAGAACTACCACTCACCATGTAGCGCGTCCAGAGAGAACTCTAATTCTTTAGATAGTCAATGCAGATGCAACGTAAGTTAATGACTATTGCGCTACTTGCAAACTGCTGAAAATGGTACTCATTGAATCTGCAAACCTCGCATCTTGATTATCAAAAGTATGTTTATGAATCGTTGCATAGCTGAACCAGTTTTCAGTCGAGAATGATTTTCCACGTTCCCACCAAACGACTGAAGGTACAAACAAAACAGTCACTTGCAAACGTATTGTTCACTTCGTTCTTTTACCTGACAATGGGTCCGTAGTCTTTGGCCAGTTCAGCAAACTTCAAATGGTGATTTCTTCCCAAGAAAGGGATGTAGCCCAAGATAGGAACTCCTTTGGGACCGGGAGGCAGTTCTGTGTTGTCAGACCCCCGAAGCACGTACCAGGTGATGGTCGCAGTGATGGTGAGCAGAGCTGCCAGGAACGCCCACTCACACGCATTTTCTGTCGCCCTTGAGGATTCCTTGCAAACGAAAGCAGTGATTATGATAAGCTCACAATAAGAATCACTCTTTCTTTAGTCTTCGCGCGCACAAGAGCAAGGAAATCATTTTTAGTGTTTGACGGGAGTTTCGCACATAAGCTCAGACGTCGGATGATCGGGTAAAGTTACCGGCCTCACACGTGCCAGAGAGGAGGATACTCCTGGAGTGCCTTGACCACCGACACAAACTAATAGCTACTAGAAGACAAGTATGACGTCATGGTTAGTAGATCCCCAACCCGCCCCAAGTTGTAAACACGCCGAACATCAACGAGAGTGGCTGCAAAACGATGGACGCGTTCGTCTTGGCCTCGCCTCGTGCAGGCGTCGCGTTTTTGGGGAGGCACCGCGAGGCACACTGGCGGCGAATAAGCCGACACACGCTATGCGAAGCGCATGTTCGTCCCATCATCATCATCATTTATTAAATATTGAAGGCCCTTACGTGCATTCCACAACGGGGGGTACCTGCTGAAAAAAACATTATATAAAGGAGCAAACAAAAAGCGGGTTACATGCTGGAGAACTTTGTTATATAAAGCAACAAAACAGGAAAAAAATAAATACTTAAAACATTTTTAAGGAAAATAGCTGATTAAACAAAAAAAATACACAAATAAAACATTTCTATAAAGACGAATTGACTTTGCTATTAGTGCAAATGCGGGTGGATGGTCAGTTGGGATATGAATGTGTTATGATCTGTCTGGGGGTCACGATACTGCTAGGCAGGCTATTCCAGTCTGTTATTGTTAACGGTAAGGTGGAGTTGAGAAACGAAACTGACGAGGCGAAAATCGGACGAACTTTGCAGACGCTATCAATGCGAGAAAATATGCGAGTGTCTGGGAATAATAGTGAAGTTCTGATGACATGGTTATCGTAGTAAACCTTGTGAAAAAGAGAGGCGTGATAATTATCTTCTGAATGAGAGCACATCAAGGTTAGCTTTCATTCGTAAAAAAGTGAAGCTGGTGCCTCGCGAGTAATCTAAAAAAATGAATCTGATTTCGCGATTTTAAAGTGCCTCTATATTTTTTATCAATGAATGTTGCCAAGGGGACCAGATGGATGACGCGTATTCAAGTTGCGATCTTACAAGTGAAGTGTAGGCTAGTTGTTTCATTGATGATGGTCCAACTTTTAGACTCCGTCGTAGATAGTCAAGAGAGCGGTTAGCATTAGACACGACGTGTGTTATAAGGGTGTTCTATGAAAGATCTTAAGATAAGTGAACGCCAAGAAATTTGTAAGATGGACACTTGGTAATTACCTGACTGCATATGGTGTAAGTAATAGTGAAAGGACAATCAGCACGCGTGAAGGAAACGAGATTTGTTTTAGAAATGTTAAATGTCGTTTTCTGCTGTTTACACCAGTCGGCTATTATGTTAAGGTCAACTTGTAGGGTTCTGTTATCGTTCAGGCTAGATACAGATCGGTAAATTACGGAGTCATCTGCAAAAAGTCGAATACAGGATGTTATGTGATCAGGTAGGTCATTTAAAACGTTTAAAAAAAGCAGAGGTCCCAGAACACTGCCCTGGGGAACTCCGGATGATGCAGGAGAATAAGCTGACGACTGGTTGTTAACCATAGCATGTTGAGTACGATTGGTTAAAAATTGTCTCATCCATGATGTTACGAGTGGATGCATGTGAAGTTGATTTAGCTTGAGCATGATTATACTATGGGAAACCTTATCGAATGCTTTAGAAACATCAATGAATATGGCGCCTGTCTGTATGTTATTATCAATATCAATGTGTATTTCATGAACAAGTTGTAGTAGTTGTGTTTCGCTAGAATGTGATTGTCTCAACCCATGCTGGTTTGAAAAGAGGATGAGGTTATTTTAGAAATGCTTCATGACATTTAAATATATTATGTGCTCAAGTAGCTTGCACGGGACACTCGTTACAAATATCAGACGATATTTTGATGGTAAAGTTCAATCTCCTGTTTTGTGTATGGGGACCACTCTGCCAATTTTCAAATCTGTAGGAAGCTCGCCAGAAGACAAAGATTGTTGGAAAATAATTAACAGAAAACTAGTTGAATGGAATTTAGCGTTTTTCAATAATTTGAACTTATTTTTGTCGTCCACAGAACTGGATGACAACTGTAAACTTTCTAAAGAGTTTATGATACCTGAATACGTTATTTCAATAACAGCCATGGGAGTGTGATATGCGTTGTTAAGACGGGGCATGCTACTGTGGTCATCTGTGGTAAAGACTGAGGTGAAATAGTGGTTAAGACTGTTGGCGCTTTCTTCATCCGATAATGGCAACCGATCATTACTGATTAGTTGTACAGGTTTAGGCGTTTTTGGATTAATTACCTCCCAGAACTTTTTAGGTTTATTGCGAAGAATGTTTACTAAGTAATTGTTAAAGAATTTTGCCTTCCCTTAAGTAATATATTTCTTATAAATTTTAGCAATATCATTGTACTTTTTCCAAGCGAGGTCGGTAGTCAATTGTTTGGCACGGCTAAATAGTCTTTTCTGAAGTAAATTCGGAAGACAAAATGAAGGAGTCATGTCCGCCTAGCTGGTTGTCACAAGACTGAGCGTTTATTCGTCGTCGTCGTCGTTTTGCCTTATTTTTCGGCGCGGCCGATCTTGATAGATCGGTGGTTTAGAGTAAAAGAAGAAAACAAAAACAACTTCGGTCAGCCGCGTGAACCGCAGCGCGTGCAGCGTCATTCGCTCCCCAACATTTTCTTTTTTTGTTTTCCTTGTTAAGCATTTTTTTGAACCAGGGATTCGATTTGTCTCAAGTTATATTTATTGATGGGTTGTAAGTGTCGGCAAGGTGTGCGAGTTTGTTTTTGAAGCGAATCCAGTTTTCATTGACTGTTCTGCTCATTTTGCCTCACTGAAAATTATCGAAAAATATTTCAAGCTCATTGTTAGTTGCGGAGTAATTAACTTTATTACAGTCTTTAATGGCCTTAAGATATGGTGATTTCCGCTGAGTTTCAAATTCAATGTTGAAATGAACCACGTCATGGTCACTGATGGGTGGTTCGTATGTTATCTAACCAGTGCAGTGTCAGTGGTGAGGCGTAGATCTAGAATATTACTTGTTTTTTGGGTTGATCTGGGCCCGTTTGCTCAAAGCGCTAACCACGGCTAACCGCGGCTAAGGTTAGCGGCGGTACCTAGAGAGGGATTTTGAAATCACGTGACTGGCTCGGTCGGGATGCGGGGAAACATGGTGGTGCCCCGGTGAGTGAGCGCCGCTCGCTTTGGAAGTTATATGTCGTTGTAGCTGCAATATTGGCCGCGTTTGTCAGCAACGAATGGTGCAGGAGGCTTTCGCTTTGCCTTACCTCACTTAAATCGCAAAGCATGACTAATGACCTCGCCGCATTTTTTAGATAGTCTTTCGATTCTGGCCGTTCCTAAGCCTAAATGAACGCGATAATTGTCGGCTTGGCAACGTCTTTAGAAAGCGGATTGCCCTGACTCAATCAGCTGGGTATTGATAGCACACAAAAGCAGACAGCGTCCCAATAGACCTTTTTCTCAATTACCCAAGCACACTGTAAACAATTTCCGTAATTTTACAAACAATTTGTCGTAATTCTGACGGACAGTGTGTCCGTTTCTTACTAAACGGACATAAAACCCGTTTTTCGTTAGGTTGAATCAAATAGTAGAGTTGTGTGCCAAAGTGTACCATAGTAGAGGATAAAAGCGTTAGAAGTGCTTTTATCGTCTAATCCTGCTAAGAGCAATTCGTTATAGTAAAGAGGCCAAAGACTATACCAAGAAACCCGCAGTACCCTGCAAAAGGAACAAATGAAAGTGGGGGAAACACAAAATAGAAATCAAGTAAAAGTCTGCAATTCACGTTAAAGCACATAGGCACTGCTCTACCTCAGTGGGAGTGAAGGTAGCGAGTTTCTTGTCTACAGATGTTTTCGAGCTTGTGATGATTGTTAGGGGGGTTCTGCGTGAGTGCAAATAAAGGGATTGCCAGAATAGTGAAGACCACACCAAGAAGCAAGGCTGTTGCTCTACAGTACGAAACGGTTGAAAGGCACCAGCCCAATTCTTGCGAACAACTCCCTTCAGTGCTGTCTCATGAACTTGCAGTTCCACAACGCTGTTTAGGAGGCATAATAAGACAACCCGCTGGAGGGCCACACTTGAGATCAACTCTGGTCGTCCATTGAAGGGCCAGAATTCTAGCCAATGTCAAAGCAGTGAGTGATCCGGAGTGAGCTTGGCTGCCGAAGAATAGTGTATAGTTGCCCTTCGATGAACACTTTCAACTGATCTTACAAGATCAACCTCACAGGAGTCTCATATGGAGCTGCAATACTTTAGGTGTGGCAGGACCAGGGCTGTGAAAGGCATGGGCATACCAAGCGGGTGGTCAAGGGGGGCGCTTGTCCCCCAGTTCTTAGAGGGGGGGGGGGGGCAAGTCATGTGTGTTGCCCCCCCCCCCCCCCCCTAAAACAGCCACCACTGGGCAGGGCAAACACTGGCTGGCAGCGCCCAAGGGATACCAAGGGCACCGCTCCACGGTCCCGGGGGGGGGGGGGGGGGAGGGGAGGGGAAGGGGGTTTAGTTTGCCCCCCCCCCCCCCCACTCGAAACGAAGTTGGTACGCCACTGGTGAAAGGCACGTAAGTCTGTTATGGCCTGGTCTCCTGGACACGCAAAGTACAAAACCCAGTGTTCCGCACGCTTTGAACAAAACTGTCGTCAGGCTGTGCGAAGAAGCATAGCTGGCTGTTTATAGTAGACCTTGTCGATGTTGTTCTGCAAACCCTGGCGGTTTCTTGGGCCACCTGATAAGCGGCACCAGTATCAGGTCGTCCGTAACAGCAGTGGAGTTGATTGCAGGGATCACGATTAATAAACATGATGAGAACAAGTGGACTGAGCACTTTGTACCGTCGAACTGTCGAGTATTTGGGGCCACTGGAAATGGTTCCATGGTATACACTGCACTCCGAGCG